TCTGCTTTGCGTTTGTCAGCTGCACAGAAAGAAATCAGTTTGTTGTTATATTTTCTGTTTTATAACTTAGAATGTGCATCACAGTTTTAAATAAACTCACCCATGGAGTTAATGAATCCCTAACAAGAGATTGATTATTAGACCATTATTTTTAACATGACAGTAGCAAGCACCAATTTAATATGTAAGTGCTGACTGACCAGAGGTCTGCCCATGGTCTCCGACCTTGCCCAATGTTGCTGGTCAAGCAGAAGTCAGCAGTCTAAAGGAGCTGAAGAGAATCTCTGGAGGTGTCTCTCAGTGACAGTCCACTGCCCTCCATTCCTGGCCCCAACTGTCCACAGATTGGGGAAAAATTGAACCCTTCAAATCTTGGCAGGTAGGTCAGCCGTCTGACTAGAATGCAGATCAAATTGCAAATGCAATACAACTTCTGTGGATTTCTCAATAACTACCCCCAGACAGTAATTACATTGTGTGTCTTCAAACCTCATTAAGTTTCACTTTTACCAATCTGGCTTGGAAACTCTCTCTCAAGAACCATTCCATCACAGGCTACCACAATAATTGCTTCTCATCTGGTGAAAAATGCTGCCAAAGGAGCCCTGATAAATGGTTACAGTGCATCCTGTAAATAGCATATGCTGCAGCAGAGTTGAAGAGAGTCAGTGTTGAAGGTGGTGCATGCGATGCCAATCCCCAAGTGGACCATTTGTCCCAAATGGTCTCAAGCTTCTTAGGTATTATTGGAGGTGCCCACATCCAGCCCAGTGGACATTATTCCATCACATATGGGCAGCGCGGTTGCTCAGTGGTTAGCACTGCTGCCTTACAGCACCAGGGACCCGGATTCGATTTCACCCTCAGGCGACTATCTGTGTGGAGTTTGCACATTCTCCCTGTGTCTGCGTGGGTTCCACCCACAGTCCAAAGATGTGCAGGTTAGGTGAGTTGGCCATGCTAAATTGTCCGTAGTGTCCAGGGGTGTGTAAATTAGGTGGCTTAGACATGGGAAATGCCAGATTACAGGGAAAGGGTAGGGGAATGGGTCTGGGTGGGATGTTCTTCAGAGGGGCGGTGTGAACTTGTTGGGCCAAATGGTCTGTTTCCACACTGTAGGGATTCTATGATTCCTAACTTGTGCCTTGTAGATAGTTGATCAACTGTGGAAAGTCAGGAGTTCAGTTTTATTTACCACAAAATTTCCAAACTTTGTCTTGCTTTCGTAGCCATAGTATTTATATGGCTTGTCCAGTTCATTTTCTGGCTAATGGTAAGCCCCAAGAATGTTCACAATGTTGTCCTTGTTGGAGATAGTCATTGTCTATCATGTACATGGGGTATTATTTGTATTAGCTTTGTTGTCGTCCATGTCTTATTTTTTTGGATATGGACTGCTTCAGTATCTGAGGAGTCACAAATGGTGCTGAACATTGTTCAATCATCAGTGAACATTCCCACTTCTGACCATTTGATAAAGCAGATGAAACATTGTGCCAGGACACAATCATGATGAACTCCTGCAGAGATATTCCCAGCTAGATGACTAAACTTTAATTACCATGACCATCTTCCTTTTTGCTATATATGACTCCAACCAGTGGAGAATTTTCACCCTGGTGACTCAATTTATGCAAAAGGTCTTGAATGCCACATTTAGTCAAACAGTACCCAATGTCAAGGGCAGCTACCTGATGGCAAGGGGAGCTCATCTCATCTCTCAAGTTCAGCTTTACTGTCTATGTTTGGATCAAGGCTATAATGCAGTCAGGAGATGAGTGACCCTGGCAGAACACAAACTGTACTTCAGTGAGCAGCTTATTGCTGAGTAAATGCCACCTTGGAGGTAATTAAAGAGGTCAGCACCCAATTCGACATCTTAGCACACCCATGTCCTACACTATAGAATAAACTACATTTTTTTCTTTTTCAGATAAAACCACTTTCCAATGCCTTCTATGCTGACCTTCAATTCAGCACCCAATCGCTCCTGTATCTTAGTGCTGGATCCATCACCAACCTGGAACCAACTTCCACAACTTTCACACCATTAAAGACCATAAGACTGTAAAATGAAGCAGTAGAAGTAGACCGTTCAGCTCATCAACAAAATCATAACAGATCTTAACATTTTCAACACCACTTTCCTTCCTGTTCATGCTAACCTTTGATTCTTTACCAATTAAAAACCTGTCTATCTCAGCCATAAATATTCTTACCGTCCCAATCTCAACAGACCTCTGGGGTAAAAAATTCCACAGATTCACTACCCGCTGAGGGAAGAAATTCTTTCTTATCGCTGTCTTAAATGGGCAATCACTTACTTTAAGATTATGCCTTCTGGTCCCAGACAAGAGAAAACAACCTCTCCACATCTACTCTATCAAGCCTCCCAAGAATCTCATGTTTCAATAAGGTTATCTCACATTCTTCTGAATTCCATTGAGTACAGGTCCAACCTACTTCAGCCTCTCCTCATAACAAAATCCCTCCACACACAGAATCAACCTTGTGAGCTTTCTCTGCACTGCCTCCAAGGCTAGCATATCTTTCCTTAGATAAGGGAACCAAAAGTGTTCTCAGTATTCTAGCGTGTGGTCCAGTAAGTGCCTTATATAGTTTTAGCAAGATTTCCCTATTTTTATACTACATTCCTCTTGAAATAAAGGTTCATATTCTACTTGCCCTCCCTCCCTATAACCTGCTGAACTTGGATGCTAGCTTCTTATAATTCATGCATGGTGATCCCCAAATCCCCAGGAAGCAGTCTTTCTCATTCAAATAGTGTTCAGCTCCTCTATTCTTCCTGTCAACATACATAACATCACATTTCCCCACATCATATTATAACAGCCAAACTGTTGCCCGTTCACTTAACCTGTCTATATCCTTCTGTAAACATTGGCTAACCATCTTGACAGACAATGAGACATGCCACTTGAGACACTTCAGACTATGATTAAATGTCATTTGGCAGAGAGTAAAAATAGTTCTGTCTCTTAATCGTTGGTAATTTTTCATGTTTTTGGAACTTTGAGTAAGTCAGAATGTTACAATCCCTTTCTCAGTTCTTTAATCTCTTTGTACTTAGTCTTCACAATTACAAATTCATAAGGCTAGATATAATCTTGTCAAGGTATACAGTTCCTTTGCCAATAGTTCCTATCATGAGAAATAAGAAAAACATTATTATAATGAAATTTCACTTGGAAACTTACAGTACCAGTTCTGTACTTCTAAAAAAAAACTTCTCACCATGAAATGTTTATTCAGTAGTGATAATATGTTTCTTAAATAAAACCTGCTAATCTCTACATGGGAATTAATCTAACTGAACTATTAATAGCTATTTATACAGATTCAGTACCTTAGTTATCCATTTTATAAGAACGTGACCATGTGTGTAATAAGCCTCATCATTGATGGTGATATTTCTGAGACTGTGAAGCAGCAGAAACAGTGTCTGCCCTTGAACAGACCAGCTAAAATCTGTTTGTTGAAAATATGGAGCAGAATACATTGGTGAACTGAATTAACATATAATGCATTGGATTATAAAGTAATTGGTTGGAGCTTAAATCACCTGGTGTCACAGTGAGTTTGAAACCTCAATTGCACAGTCATGGTGCTCCTTCAAGTGATAGGCACACTCTTCGCTGCACTCAGCATGGAGTTGAATCACTGCACCTTGTAGTGATCAGATAAAGAGTGGATGTACATCCACAGTGGATATAGATCACTCTCAACCCCCACAACTGATCTCTAGCAGGGTAGATGTTAATAACCACTATATGTGTAAGAAGAATACGACAATCAAGACAACAGTGGCGTTGTTTCCAAATATATGTGATGTTTTGACAATATGTCAATGAGTAATGTTGAGCTGGTTTGATTTTATAGTAGCACTGGACTATGATGATGTTCCACAGCGTTGTGACTAACTCTGCTCATTCCTAGTACTTGCTGAACTTGGCCTATGTTCTAAGAGCTGCCAAGGGGCTAGAGGCTTGTAAAACAATGAATTGTATAGAACCTGTTAGTTTTTTAACAGCTGGCCTCCATTCTCTTGTGGCCTCATTAAAATGAATGGGAACCTACCTTCCAGACGGAGTAGACGAATGAATGCTTTATTTGTTTTGATGACTTTGTGTATCATGGTCCCCACAGATCATTAAACACAGCAAGGAATGCTATTAGCTCAAAATACCAGTGAAGTAATACAAACACCAGCCAAAGGTCATGTGCAGCAACACTTTCTAACATTACAATTACAGTGAAAATTGAAGTTAGGCTCCAAAGTTAATAATCTCTTGTGTGTGGGTGGATGGATGGAGTCGAACACCAATATAGGACTGACTTTCTGGAGCACAAGTGCATTGTGGCTATTTTATATGTAAATGTCAGAATAGTACTGCAGTACAGGTTTAGATAAATCACCAATGTCATTCAAGTAAGAATTTTTATTCAGATCTCAAAATAGCTTGAAACTGTGATGTTTAAGTAATCAAAATGTAAAGCAGTCTTATAAGCTGAATTTTGATGTCAATGAAACACACTCAATTATTAATAAATTATTATCAATTCTGCATGTGTTTCCTCTGGGTGCTCCAGTTTCCTCCCACAGTCCAAAGATGTGCAGACTAGGTGGATTGGCCATGCTAAATTGCCTGTAATGTTCGGCGATGTATAGATTAGGTGGGTTATAGGGGGATAGGTCTGGGTGGGATGCTCTGTGGGTCGGTGTGGACTTGTTGGGCCGAAGGGCCTGTTTCCACACTGTAGGGACTCTATGGTTCTATTAATTACTGTCTGTACTTAAACTGAAAAGAGATTCTTCTTTATGTTTCTATTTGAATTATTGATGCTCTATACAAGTTTTCTTTCATAAAAAGGAGACCAGTAGAGGTATCCATATTACATTTGTAATACAATTCAATGTATTTTGTTAATTCCAGTTGACCTTTCACTGTACTTTGACTGTTGCCTCAATTGTTTTTCAGGCGGAATTTGCTGAGATTAACCTGATTGCTCAAGCTGATGGCACCTGTATGGTGGACATGCAAGTTTTGCGAAATGGCACAAAAGTTGTCAGGTGAGACAAGGGATTGCATGGACAAAGCAAGAGGGACAACATGGCATGTCTGTTTTTTTTATTAGTCATCTTTTTCCCTCAGAAAATTTCATATTCGTACAATTCCACACATGTTTTTTAGGCCAATTAGTGTGCTGATTGATTTGGTTCTTCATGTAACACTTCATCACCTCCTAATGAGGTGTATCATAACCCAGAAATGAAGAAAGATTAGCTGTGGAGTTGAACAATAACTTTGGAACAAGGTCATGTAAGAGCAGGTAAAGTTGTAATTAATACACATATGTTTTGGCAGTTTAAGGTATCACCTGGAACTGAAAATAAATTCTAGCCAGATGTTATACATTTTACTTTCTGTCTGGAAAATGGTTGCCAGTAAAATTACTGCATGTTCAGGAATGTAATGTTCGGTGAGAGATTTATCAAGTACATTGCAGGGTGATATGTAAACCCTAGTTTATTTTCTAATATCATTATTGTAATTGATTACAATGGAAATGATGTAATCGATTCAGAATACCATAACCTCAAATAAATAGAAAGACAGTTTGCAGTTCTTTCCTTCAAGTGGTTGGAATTCTGCTTTTGTATAGGAAGACAGTCTGCAATTACATATTCAATTAAAGGTATCATGGATGATTACTCTATACAAATGATCAATTTATGTGAGATCAATTTCAAAATATTCTTAAAATAAAGAAAATTTTGTTCAGTCCACATTAGTGCAGATCAGATGTAACTGCCACTTTTATGGGTCTGAAAGTGAACTAATTTGATAAATTGAGATTCAGTGCCTGGGACAAAGTATTTATTTAGCTGAACTCACAATGTACACAAGATTATTTGGATTAAAATGTATTCAAATACTTTATTGATTCCATATTCTAGTCTTAAATATTCACTATTTTGAGTATTTTAAGCCTGATTTTCTTAATATGATCATGTTCAGAAGAATCCAAATTGTTTCAAAACGCAACTGGATCTAAAAGAAATCAGCCTTGTGAGTACCTTGCCTAGAGCCAGAGTTGCAGGCTTCTGATGTCATTGATGTGGGCCATTTACAGTCAAAACATTAAAACCAAATACAGAACTATATAGGACACAGGTGTTAGAGAGTTAAAGTTTGCCAAATCTTGATGGCATTTTGAATTTTTTGAACCTCAGTTGAAAGAAATTAGGCTGGATTTAGTGCCTCATAATGACCCATTTGACAGCCCATTATCCCTGAGCCTTCCAAGATTTAATTCTGGTTCAGGGATTAAATGGAGGCTATATGCTTTCCGACAGTCATTGTATCTAACCCAGGGACCCAACATCAGAAGGTACCTGGCTATTGAAAGCCAACCCTTACCACTGACCATGACCCACTTCTAATACCATCCCAGCTCTTCTCACCTTTGCTGTCTGGCTCCATGTTGATCCTGGGTTTCTGGTGGGGCAGTGAAACAGTTCCTGCTGGCTCTGTGGCAATAGTGAGCTGCCAGCCTCTGAGTGATTGGCTGGCAGCTCTCCGCAGGCAGGAGCTCTGCAGACAGGGACCACAATCATAGGGAATTTCCGACAGTGGCCACATAGAGCCTGAAGGGCACCTGATACCCATCAGGTTTCCCCATGGAATTGGCCAAGGATTCCCACTGTGAAAATATTAATGTCAGTAGGGGTAGCCCTAACATGGTTATTCGTTGGCACAAGGGTGGGCACTGCTGGTTAAATTCCAGCAGAGATCTGTGTTTGAAAGGGATGATAAGCAGCCCTGATTAGATTATGCTTTTCATTCCTAACTTGTAGTTTTAACAGTAAGAAGAAATACGGAGCACAAAGGTCAAATTCTAAGTTTAGTACTAATGAAGTGCAAGGAAATGAGTCAGATTCTGGGGTTTTCAGGTCCTAAATAAAAATCCGAGGGAGTGACACTAAGCCAGTCAGTTGGATAGAATTCAGCAACATGGATGAATTGGTTGGCACCATTATAAGAAGACACATTACCCCCCATTTCATTTCCCTGATCCCATAATCACCCCAGAGATCTTTATGCCTATTAGTCAGCTCATTGTGATTTGTAAATTTCTGGCTAATGTGTGTGAAAGGGAATGTCAAGGTGAAAGGGAAATAAGGAAAATGGGCAGAAAACAGACAATTTTACTTCCCTTGTGATATTTAAGCATGTTCCAATCAAATGCCCAATGGTCCCCAGCAGGATCCTACTCCATTTTTCCAGGCAAGTGCTCAGGGCATCCCACTGGCTGCCACAATAGTGGGAAAACTGACCATATCCGACTCCAGAAAAATAGATCTGGGGTGATTATGGGATCAGGGAAATGAAATGGGGGGTAATGTGTCTTCTTATAATGGTGCCAACCAATTCATCCATGTTGCTGAATTCTATCCAACTGACTGGCTTAGTGTCACTCCCTCGGATTTTTATTTAGGACCTGAAAACCCCAGAATCTGACTCATTTCCTTGCACTTCATTAGTACTAAACTTAGAATTTGACCTTTGTGCTCCGTATTTCTTCTTACTGTTAAAATTAAGAGTTAGGAATGAAAAGCATAATCTAATCAGGGCTGCTTATGTAAAATTATCCAAAAAGTAGAGACAAACCCCATGGACAGCAATGAATATCATCTTGTGGAGAAAAATGAAATTTGACATTTTGTGCAATAAAAATCAGACCTCCAGATGAGATATTGAATCTTAGATGTGCTATAAACCAGGCCGTCATCCTAGTTACTGTGAGCAATGCTATAGCAGATCTGTGAATACTTGGAATAAAGATACAAGCAGCACTAGAAAATTTGGAGAATTTTCCAACAGTTGGTCTTTCTGGATTTTTGTAATGAAGTGGATTTTGGTACGGGATTGGACAAAGTCAGAAGTCACACAACACTTCACCTCACCAGGCACTTCACCTGACAAAGGAGCAGTGCTGCAAAAACTTGTGATTTCGGATAAACCTGCTGGACTATAACCTGGTGTTGTGTGACTTCTGACTTGAATTTTTATTGGGAAAGAAGTTTATTATACAAACCAATAGTGTGCAGTCAGTCGATGTGACACTTAAATTATTGGAACCTTAAAGTGGGTGCTCAAAATCTTTCTAACAAATGGTTAGGTTCCATCTCTCTGCTAAATTCAGTAAACAGGTTGCAATGTGAGATTGTAACAATATAATTAATGCTTTTCTCGCCACTAAGAGCATAGCTCATTCTGTATTCCTGCATTGTGAATTGCCCTTGCGTTGTTTTGCAAATCAGGTATGCATCTCTCAGGAATACATATCAATAAAAATGCAAATTAGAGCTGTAAATTACAGCCCTTTCCTCATGACACATTCAAGGTGGATGTTAAAGCTCAAACTATGCCTGATGCTGTAGTTTTGTGAAAATTATTGCAGTAGATATTAATCATTTAAGCTGTCTAGCCGAGCACTATCCGTAAAACGGCAATAGCAAGAATGCAACTTGATCAGGGTCATGATGGGGAGTTCACAATGTAATCATGGTGCAGGCTGTCTCTGGTGTTATATGAAGAATTTCGTATTGAATCCTAAATTACAAAATCGCAGGTGGAAACAGAGACCATTGTCTACAGTAACAAAAGCTTTAACATTAATTACAGTCAAAACCTAGCCAACTAAAAAACATAAACAGTCTGCAATCTCTGAAGCTTTCAATAATTTAAACAAGCTGGGTGACCTGCTGTGCACGATGGACTCTGGTAGATTGAAGCTGGTCTGAACTGGGCTGGCTTTATCTAGTTAGACATCTCCCCATCTGCTTCTTGGAGATTTGTTGCACTTGTGATTAAACCGATTGCACCACTCTGGATATTGATCCTGCTCTGTAGATCTGAAAACTTTTCTTTTTTTCACACTTGTTATGGTTTGATTTCTTACTTCAATAACCTTTGCTAGCTGGCTCTTGCATGTATATTTGATATTTCTGTGAACTCAGGTGTCTGTCGGATCTAAGAGTAACCCCGAATACATTGGGATTATAACCAGAAAATGGTGAAAGTAGTCAGCAGGTCAGCCAGCAGCTATGGAGAGAGAAATAGAGTTAAATGACTTGATTTCCCCATAGGCTTTAGGAATTTGATGTCAAGATGAAATGAGGAGCTTTATTTGATACTTTAGGCTAATATGACTATTAGCCTGGTTGGATATTTCGCCTTAGTATCCCTGAGTTGTGAGTTATGACCAATATACTCTTACAGGCTGTGGCACCTTTTCCTTTAATAAAGGGCAGAACGGTGGCTCAGTAGTTAGCACTGCTGCCTCACAGCACCAGGGACCCGGGTTTGATTCCACCCTCAGGCGACTGTCTATGTGGAGTTTGCACATTTTCCCAGTATCTACATGGGTTCCCTCCAGGTACTCTGGTTTCCTCCCACAGTCCAAAGGTGTGGGGATTAGGTGGATTGGCCATGCTAAATTTCCCATAGTGTTCAGGGATGTGTAGCTTAGGTGTGTTATAGGGGGGTGGGTCTGGGTGGGATGCTCCAAGGGTCAGTGTGGACTTGTTGGGCCGAAGGGCCTGTTTCCACACTGTAGGGATTCTATGATGCTCCTGACCTACTGTAACACTCTTCTATTTCCATGGGTACATTATATGTTATGGAATAAACCTCCGTGGTGAAATGTCTAAGAACTCACCGTTTACATGCTGGAGCCCGATCCTAGATTCAATAAGACTATGGCTGATCTGTTTGTATTTCAAATTCAAGACTCCCATCTACCTGCTCAACTTTTAAATGGTGCTCCCTTGTTTTCAACTCAAGTACAAACGGAAAGACCCTTTCCAATCTGCCTTTAGATGTCAGAGTAACATCATCATCATTTGCCTATTTCATTGTACTACATAGAGCTCTTCACCTGTAGTCAGTCAGACTGGGTGCAGTGAGCACAAATGATGGTGTCTCAACATGGAGTCATCTTCACTGGAGAAATTAATAAGATCAAGGCTAACAGGCCAATCAAGTGGATCGTAACGTTCCAATG